ACCATCCTGGCCAACATGGTGAAACCCTGTCTCTACTAAAAAATACAAAAATTAGCTGGGCGTGGTGACGCACGCCTGTAGTCCTAGCTACTCGGGAGGCTGAGGCAGGAGAATTACTTGAACCCCGGAGACAGAGATTGCAGTGAGCTGAGATTGAGCCACTGCACTCCAGCCTGGCTCCTGGCAACACAGCAAGACTCTGTCTCAAAAAGAAAAAAAAAAAAAAAAATGGCTGAGCATGGTGGCTACTTGAGGCTGAGGTGAGAGGATTGCTTGAGCCCAGGAAGTCAAGGCTGTGGTGAGCCAAGATCATACCACTGTACTCTAGCCTGGGTGGCAGAGTGAGACCCTGCCTCAAAAAAAATAAATAAAGTCAAAAAAGTTGCGGTAGGGGCATCAGATCTAAGGAAATAAGGTGGTTCAGGGAGTGACTTTTTAACACCAGGCCACTAAACGCTATAGACTGCTTTGCAGCGCAGCTCAGAGAGGTAGCAGACTGTTTGCCCAGAGCCCCATGTTACAGATGAGGACACAGAAGCCACACTAAGAAACAGAACCCTCCTGGGGTCAGACAGAGGCAGGGCTGGACCAGAATGCCCCCTTCTGCCTCTGGTGCTCAGGGCCAAGCTCATGCACTGTGATAAATCTGGCAGCTCCACATCCAGGGAGTGATGGGTAGGGGGAAGAAAGGGAGAGACAGAGGTCAGGCCACCCCCGCCCACCATACACATGGTGAGCCACGCTCGGGAGGTCAGGATTTCATGTCTGACTTTCTAGTAACGGAGCTGGCTCTGCATGGAGCTATCCACCTTCTCTTGCTCAACTGCTGTGGGGCGGGCTCAGCCCTGAGCTAGGGACCTGAGCCAAGATGCTCAGCCTTTAAGAGGTCCAAGCCTTACCAGCCCAACCGCCCAACCAGCACATTCTATAAACAGCCACTTTTCACATCCCTGCAATTAGACTGTCTACCACAGCCTCGGGGACTCGGGGCTTGACCTGGCCAGTCCCCCCAACTGATGTTCCACCACCCCCTTGTTCGCTGCATTCTGACCATGCTGACCACCCCCCTCCACTGATGCACCTGTTGCTCCTGCCTCGGGGCCTTTGCGCTTGCCTCTCCTTGGAAGGTCCTGGCTCCCAGGTCCTCTCCTCCAGATCTCACTGGTCATTCAGGGCCCAGTCACCTCTCCAGGGAGCCCTCCTTGAGCACCAACCCAAGCAGGCCCCTCCCAGTCCCTCTCAGCCCATCCCCTGCTGCATTTCCTTCTTAGCGCTGATCTTTCCCTGCCCTCGTGGGTGCTAATTCCCTGTTGTATGCACAGTTCCCAGCACAGTCCCTGGTACAGAGTAGGGCCTCAATTCATAATTGTAACATAAAGGAATGAATAAAACAACAAATTCAACAGATCAACCAGGACTGAATCAGATCTCCCAGGAATAGATGCTTTTAAAGAAAAAAAGACACTATAAGGAGCAATTCCCAGAAGAAACCGCCTCTTTCTAAGAAACCCCTTCTTTCCTGCTTCCTCCAACCTAAATTTGCCCAACGGCAGCCTTTGACTCTCGGCTAAAGTACTAGGGAAATGCCCACAGCACCACCTCTCACTTCTCCTGGCTTTGCCACCAAAGGGCTGGGCACACCAAGCTTGCAGAACTGAGTTAAATCAGAGAACCATCTCACCACTTACATGAATTTTCTGGGTAGCAACGTTTTAAGCCCCTCAAACTTTTCTTAAGCTGTCTTTGGCTGGGCGCAGTAGCTCACACCTGTAATCCCAGTACTTTGGGAGGTGGAAGCAGGCAAATCACTTGAGGCCAGGAGTTTGAGACCAATCTGGCCAACATGGTGAAACCCCATCTCTACTAAAAACAGAAAAATTAGCCAGGCTTGGTGGCAGATGTCTGTAATCCCAGCTACTCAGGAGGATGAGGCAGGAGAATTTCTTGAACCCAGTAGGCAGAAGTTGCAGTGAGCGGAGATCGTACTACTGTACTCCAGCCTGGGCAACAGAGCAAGGCCATGTCTCAAAAAAAAAAAAAAAAAAAAAAAAGTTTTACTTCTACTTGATGGTTTGGGGTCACCAGGCTCACTTATCACATCACTCTCCTGTAGCATAGGGATGCCCATGGTGTGGCGTGTGGCAGTGGAGGCTCAGGCCTCGGTGCTGTGTCTGTGTTCAGGGTCGTTTCTGTGTCCTCCCTGGCTGTCAGTGATCACCTCTTGCTGCTCCTCACTCCATAGTCTCTACCACAACTTCAAATCTGCTACGATCTGAAAAACCTGTTAGAACTGTGTGCAAACCAAGAATAAACAGGACCTGCCTGAAAACTCGAGAAGCTCTCCTTTAAACAGGGTACATGGGATTCGGCACATCTAGCTTGAGGCTCAGGGAAGATTTTCCATCCTTCTCGGTTCCAGCTGTGCCTACAAAGTCAGAGAGCAGCAGAGCCCCCCACACACGTGGTGATGAGGAGCTAAGTCCCCCGGCACTTCCCCGGGGAGGCGGTGCTGAATCCGAACTCGTAAAGCAGCTGTTCTGTGCCTCCACCATAAAGCCCCGCAGTGCTCGGAGAAGCAAAGCACGGGAGAGGCTTTTGAAAGTTCTGTGAAATCTTGTGGCTCCAAACACGTTTCCCTCAGCTTCGCTCTCCCTCACTTAGGAAAACAGAGCTCTCAAGGGAGCCTTTGTGAGCAAAAAACCCGGGGCTGGTGCTGAGCACACATTTTGACAGTTACAGCAAGGCTCGGGAGAGACAGTTTTCAAAGCAAAACAGAACCCAAGGGCCCTTCACATAGAGCTTCACTGTGAAATCCGCTCTGATTCCAAATACCTTGTTTTCACCCAATTATGCCTTAGGAGGAAACTTTGTGCCTCTTTCTCTCTCTCCAATTAAAAAAAAAATTATTTTCAAGATGGAATCTCACTCTGTTGCCAGGCTGGAGTGCAGTGGCACTATCTCAGCTCAGTGCAGCCTTAGCCTCCCAGGCTCAAGCAATTCTCCTGCCTTAGCCTCCCAAGTAGCTGAGATTACAGGCACTCACCACCAAGCCTGGCTAAGTTTTGTACTTTTAGCAGAGAGGGGGGTTTCTCCATGTTGGCCAGGCTAGTCTCAAACTCCTGACCTCAGGTGATCCACCTTGCCTTAGCCTCCCAAAGTGCTGGGATTACAGAACTTTGTTTTTTTATTTTTAGAAAATTATTTTTTAAGTAAATTTTTATTTATAAAAATATTTATAAATTAAAAAAAATTTTTTCTGAGGCTGGGCACAATGGCTCTTGCCTATAATCCCAACACTTCAGGAGGCCAAAGCTGGAGACTTGCTTGAGCTCAGGAGTTTAAGACCAGCCTGGGCAACATAGTGAGAGCTCAACTCTACAAAACAATACAAAAATTAGCTTGGCATGTGGCGCACACCAGTGGCCCCAGCTATTTGGGAGGCTGAGGTGGGAGGATCATTTGAGCCAGGGAGATTCATGCCACTGTGCTCCAGCCTGGGCAACAGAGGGAGGTCCTGTCTCAAAAATAAATAAGTAAGTAAGTAAGTAAATAAATGTCTCTGTCATTAAAAAAAAAAATCAGCCTCTGTCCCCTGTGTTCTTTCCTGCAAGCAAGGCCTTTCCAATCCCTCTACTCCAGGGACCTCACGGAGCTTTGAGAAACAGCAACACAGGCCACGGGGGTTATAGGGGGAGTGTGGTCTTTAAAGGCAGGTGGACGAGAGTGAATCTGGCTTCCAGCACTTTCTGCTCCCTGCATGACTCAATGTTAACAAACCACTTAGTCGCCCTGAACCTTGCTTTTCTCATCAGTAAAATGGAAATAATAACACTCACTGGAGATCAAGGAGACAACACAGCAAGTGAGGCAGTGGCTCAAATGGGCAGTCCTGAATGGTAGTTAGGCCCGGGCACGGTGGCTCATGTTTGTAATCCCAACACTGGGAGGCCAAGGTGGGCAAAGCACTTGAGGCCAGGAGATCGAGACCAGCCTGGTTAACATGGTGAAACACCATCTCTACTAAAAATACAAAAAATTAGCTGGGCACGGTGGTGTAGGCCTGTAATTCCAGCTGCTAGGGAGGCTGAGGCAGGAGAATTGCTTGAACTCAGGAGGCAGAGGTTGCAATGAGCCGAGATTGAGCCACTGTACTCCAGCCTGGGCAACAGAATGAGACTCTAAAACCAAAAACTAAATGGTAGTTAGTGTTATCATTATTGAGAATACCTAGAGCACAGCAGTCAGTCCAAGTTCTCAACCCTGGCTACATTTTAAAGTGTACTAGGCAGCATTTAAAAGATTCTGAGGTCCAGGATGGGGTCGATGTCTCCCGGCTACGGTCACAAAAATTCCCTTTTCACCATGCATTCCACTCCCTTTCCCTCTGCAAATCAATGCCCATGCATCCTTCCTACTGGCTCAGAGTCACCACTTCCAGGACGCCCTCCCCTAGTCTTCTTCAATAGCCAAATGTGAATCAGAAGTCACATGGAACATGCTGCCTTTTCATTATGATGCAGGCGCTACATACGAGCTATGAGCAGCCTGCAGTGTTGGGCCACAAGAAGTATGTGGAGGTGTCTGGATATTTGCACAGAAACATCCTGAGTCTCCTGCCACTTTGAGTCCTCCTGCTTGCTTTCTGGAGTTTTCCATCTATTCTTAGTTTCAGCAATTACAGGTTGCTTTCTCAGTACAGGTTCCTCAAATAGCGCCAACCTCCCCTGTAATCTGGATTGAGAGAAGGCAGATGAACCTGCTGGTTCAAACTGTATAGACCAAGAAGAGACAGACCTGGGGAAGACTCCTGAGGGGCAAATCTCGAGCTTAGAATCCCAGTCCCCGCTCTCACCAGCCGTGGCCCCTCAGTGTACCTCGGTTTGCCTGACCGGATGAGATGGTTTCCAGGGAGCCTAACATTCGGTGTTTCACTAAATTCTTCCAGGCATGGAATTATTGTAGGTTTTCATAGCAAGGCGCAGGCAGGGAAGTTGGGTTACCTGGTCCTGGAGCTTCTGAAACATCAGAGGGTGTGGTTCTTCCAGGATCTTCTCATTGAGCCGAGACTGCCCCTCCACGTTGACCTGTGATGAGGCCTTGCTGGACAGAAAGGTCATGTAGATCTCCTTCGCCTTTTCCTGCATCTGGAGGAGACAGATGGGCCCTGTGTACTATCTACACACCCAGCCTTTCTGGCCTGAGCCCTGCTCTCCCCTCCAGCCAGGCCCAGAAGAGCTGCTGTGGCAAGAGAAAGGTATCCCCCGCAGCCTAGGTGTTCTCAGGCCCCTCCAGAGAGAATTTCTATCTGTGAGAGCCCACACCGCCAAGTCCCTACCCGCTTCATGTGTCTGCAGCCACATCTCCTGGAACAAAATCGATGCAGAATTCAGAAGCGATGACAGAAAGAATCCTGGCCCACAGAGAGCATTCAGTGCCACTCACAACCATCCTGTGGCAGGGCGCAGTGACTCAAGCCTGTAATCCCAGCACTTTGGGAAGCCAAGGCAGGTGGATCATTTGAGGTCAGGAGTTTGAGACCAGCCTGGCCAACATGGTGAAACCCCATCTCTACTAAAAATACAATAATTAGCTGGGTGTGGTGGTGCACACCTGTAATCCTAGCTAGTCGGGAGGCTAAGGCAGGAAAATTGCTTGAACCCAGGGGACAGAGGTTGCAGTGAGCCAAGATTGCTCCACTGAACTCCAGCCTGGGTGACAGAATGAGACTGTCTCAAAAAAAAAAAATCGAGTTAAAGCATGCCTATCCCTACCAGTTACCAAGCGCCCACTAGGCTGCAGACACCTGCTTGGAGTGGTCCCATTTCCTTAATCCCCTGGAGATGCAGCAAAGGGCATTTTCCTGTTAGCACCACGAGGACACAGAGGACAGGAGAGGTGGCATGGCTTATCTGAGAGCCTCTGGGAGCCCCAGGACTGTTTGGATCCAAGGACTCTGAATTCTGCTCAGTTCCACTTCCGAGAGACATACTGGCCCCTCCAGGTTGTGCGGTCTGCGGCCCTCTCAGGCAGGTGCGTTTCCTTTTAGGTAAGGAGAAAACACTCGCTGCCTGCCCTCAAGTCCAACTGCCATCGTGCTGGGAAGCACCGACTTCCTGTTTCACTGGAAACGAACCGAGGCTGGCTCAGGGGCACTCACTGATGGTAAGGAGATGACCTCACAGTAAGAACTGTGTCTTCAGGACAGTGTGCCTCACATCAGGGCTGCAGGCACAGGAGCCCTCTCCTCCAGGACTTCCCCGAGGGCTGTATTTTCTTTTAGAGAAAGGAGACTTCCTGTGCTCATACCTCACCAACGGCAAAAACGGGGCTGTTTCTCTGAACGTTAGAGTCTAAAGCATGACCTCACCCTACAGAGCAAAGCAGACAACAAATGCCTCTAAAAGGCAGCCACACAGCTATGACATGTGTGGGTGGAAGGGAAGGGGGCAGGGGCCTGGAAAACTGCCTTTCTCTCCATGAGCCCACCTGGGGGTCCACATGTGCTGTGGAGCTTGGTTTGGGAAATCCCATGTTCTGCAAACCTTCTACCCTTAAGGAAGGTGGTTACCAAAGGTTTTGATAGCTGGTGAATGAAAGGAAGGAAGAGTAACCCTTTTTTTTAGTTCAGGGGACTGAGGACAAAAGACCCCAAGAAGCCGCAGCCTGGCCATGTCATGTTCAGCGGGAAAGCACGCCTCACCAGCACCTGCAGGCAGACAGCCCAGGTTGGGTGAACGCCCAAAACCATGCTGTCCACCCTGGCTTTACCGTCAATAGAAGCAAGGCATCCATGCCAGACTCGGTGACGCAGGAGTCTCTCCAGACAAGCCTGGCTATCCAGGGGACAGGTCTGGGGGCTGTCCTTGAGACCCAAGGAGGTAGCACCTAGGAGCTGGTCCTGCTCGCCTCTCCAAGACCCACCCGCTCCATGAAGCCATAGCCTCCCACCCACCACCATTCTGTCAGGAAGCAACACTTTTGGAAAACCACTTCCTGTTTTAAAGCTGCTTCATGAAAGGAGAATTTCAGTCAGGCAGATGAGCAAACTCCATGCAGAGCTCTGGGGGCAGAAATCCCTTTAGACCTCCCATTCCCTTGAATATTCACACACACACATACACACAGGTGTGCACATGCGCGCGCACACACACACACGAATCCAGGCTACCTGAGTAATTCTGAATAGAGAAGTTTAATGAGTGGCTTGAGTCTTTGAGGTGGGGCAGAAGGGGCCTGGGAGGAGGAAGTAGGTTCCAGGACCACAGGAATTCAAGCCTCGAGGGTCTCAGCCCTGCCCTCTCCCACTGGCCGTCCCTCTGGAGTTAGTGTGAGAACAGTGCGGGGCTGAGGCCCTGGCCAATGAGATATACACTGTGAGCGGCTCCAGGTCTCAGCTTATCTCCACCGGGCTAGGAAGTATGACTGAAAAGGGAAGCCCTGATGCTGTGACCACAAGCCAGTCACGGGAAGGCCTGGTGTCCAGGCCAAGGACGTGAACCAAAAAGAAGAACCAGTCTCTGGAGATACTTTGGTAGATTTTTCCAGAGCTTTGTTAACCCTATTCTAGCTACTGTTTAGGTAGGAACAGAACTGGTGGAGTTGATTCTGTGTCTGTGGCCTGGAAGGATGGCCAGCTTCTCTTAGACGGCCCTGACTCACGTGGCTGGCCACAGCCTGGACCAGAGAGCTGCTTTCTCCCTGGGGACACCCGACATGCCCAGCATCTGAGGGTGTCCTGGCAGGTGCTGGAGAAGGGCCCCACCTAGGCCCATCAACTCAGGGACTACCCATGGAGAACCTGCACCCACCTGCACCCCTCCAGGCACCCCACGAGGCTAGGGCCTTTCTTCGAGGCCTGGCAGTGCCTCAGCTATGACAATGCTCAACCAGATGTCAGCTCTCGAACCCTGTTCCCTGCAGGTGCATGATCAGGAGAAGCAAATTCACTTTCCTATCAGCTCCAGACACACACACATCTATGCAGACAAACTGGAAAGTCACCAGGAGCCCCAAAGCTCAGAAGAGTGCTGCTTCCCACACCGGCCCCTCCCTCCCCTATCAGCATGCTTGAACTTTCCCACCAGGAAAATAAAAGAGCCACACTTGCCCAAGCTGCAACCTCCACCTCCGAAGTTTAAGCAATTCTCCTGCCTCAGCCTCCCCAATAGCGGGGATTACAGGTGTGTGCCACCATGCCTGGCTAATTTTTTCTATTTTCAGTAGAGACAGGGTTTCACCAAGTTGGCAGGCTGGTCTCAAACTCCTGGCTTCAAGTGACCCACCCGCCTCAGCCTCCCAAAGTGGTGGGACTACAGGCGTGAGCCACTGTGCCTGGCCCCAATTCCTTTTTGAAATATCTCAAAAGCATGCACCCATGTCTCCATCGTCCCTCTCATTCTCTCCTCATGCCACACCCAGGCTTCTGCCCAGCCAGCACAGCTCCACCAGCCCGCTGATGACCCTCAGGTAGTGAGGGCCCTCAGATCTTCCTCCAGAACGAGCTGGCCCCACAGCTGCTCAGCACCACTGTGTTCTCTTCTCACTTTCCCCGCCTTGTGAGAGCCTGTCCTCTCAGGATCCCCAGCACCTCCCTGTGTCTGTCTCCCAGCTTCTGTCTCCCTATTCCCTCTGTGAGTTCTGGGCTTTCCCAGACTTCTGTCCTTGGCTGACAACTCTAATGCCATGTTTCCCCCAGATTTCAGCCCAAGCATCCCCCAGGCTACTGACCCACATAGCCAACTGGTTTCTAGCAACATGGGCTTGGAAATCACACCGACACCTCGAATTAACACAAAGGAAAGGAGAGGTCTCCTGGCTGGCAGACCCCACAGCCACTACTCTGGGAAGCTGGAAACTTCAATCCCCTGTAGCCAGTCCCCACCCCCATCCCATCTGCTGGCCTCCAGCTCCTCTCCACCCCGTCCTCTGCCAGAGATGGAATGCAGGAGAGAATTCCTAGGAAAATGAAAGGATCAAGACTCTAACTTTATTCATATCAATTTCAGAAAGAAAATGAGGCAAAGAAAATATCCAATAAATGATAAGAAAATAGTTTCAAGAACTGGCTCAGGAAATGGAGAGCAGTCAGAGGAACAGCAGATGACTCTGCAAAGACACGGAAAAAGAAACCAAAGCCCCTGCACAGGTGGGGAGGGGGTGCCAACGAGAAGCACATCCAGAGACGGCAGAAGCTCGAGGGTACTGGGGAGCCGAGATGAAACTGATGAGGGCGGCAGAAAGAAGCCATCAGATCCCCAGGTCCTCTGCCTCCTCTGCCAACCCTGAGCAGTCAGGTGGCTCCCTCCCTGCCTTCAACAGAAGACATGAGTTTTCTTTTCTCAAGAGACAGACCCGGGGAGGCTCCAGAACAGAGGCACAGAGGATGGCAAGAGTGAGAGACCAAACGGAATAAAGGGATTCAGGGAAATTCCAAATATAGACCCTCCCAGCAAAGTTCTTCTGACACGGTTAATTAGAGATACATTTACTTTAGGAACATAGCAGGCTTGTGCCCCACCAAGAAGAGACTAAAGGGCCCTTGCCTGGAGAAAATAAAAAGGCAGAAAAAACTCAATAGGAGGATTTGAAGATAAAGTTGAAATCTCCAAAAGCCAAAAAAAATCTTTTTAAATAGGAAGAATAAAAGATAAAATTAAGGGCTCAATGCAAGGGTGAAAGATCATCCTTGGAAAAGAGACCAGAGACGACGGAAGGAAAAAAAGTTACTAAAATGATGATCGTAATAATAACAACATAAGACCATTTCCCAAAACTATACATTTCCAGATTATAAGGCTCCACAGAGAATCCACACAATGAAGGAACTCTGCCTCCACCTCCAAAGCCCCTGACTGAACACTTTTAGAATATTGGTGATGAAAAGATCCTGACCAGGTGGAGTGGCTCACACCTGTAATCCCAGCACTTTAGGAGGCTGAGGTAGGAGGATTTCTTTTGAGACCAGACGAGGCAACGTGGTAAGATTGCTTAAACCCAGGAGGTCCAGACTGCGAAGAGCTGTGATCTCACTATATTCCAGCCTGGGTGACAGAGTGAGACCCTGTCTCAAAAAGAAAGGAAAAATGCCTGGCATGGTGGCTTATGCCTATAATCCCAGCACTTAGCAGGGTGGAGGCAGGTGGAC